TTCTGCTTGTAAGACAGCCCTCTTTTGAGAGATGTCCAGCATGCCAGGTCTAAAGCCACCACTATGAGCATTCCCACTGTTCCTGAAGCTGACACTGGAGCTCAGAGATGTCAAGGAAATTGGCTAATGACACCCAGCACTTGCACCAGTTCCTGCACACAGAACCTGTCCCGCCTTCCCTGTGTTTCAGAGCAAGGGAGATGCTGGGCTCCTCCCAGGACCTAGTCAATGGCTGGGAGGGGACCCAGAAGCCCTACTCCCAGATCCCTGCCCTCCTCAGACCCTGATCCCTTTGCAAAGAGACAGGAGACCCACGACATGCTGGGCACACAGCCCAGAAAGTACCAGCTTAGCAAATGCAGTGCAAGGAGTTGCTGGTACCTGGGCTTGCGACTGGAATTGTATAGCCTTGAAACCACACTGCTCTGCTCTCGGGCCTCAGAATCTTATTTCCTTTGGAGAAATGGGAGCCAAGGACCCGAGAAGCAACAGCAACAAACAGCACAAATCAGCCAGTGTTACTGAAAAAGACAGAGTTCAACAGCCCCTGAAAGAAAAATGCAACAACCACAGAGTACGACCTTCCGCAATACTTCTTTCTTTGTCTGTGAAACATCAACATCGCCCTCTGCTGCCAGCCACCAGTATTACCACTGCTCTCCAGCTTTCCCCTTGGTCCTCCCCCTATTTCCAAGATATGACACACCTCCAGGGGGGCAGTCCTCACATTACAGTCGTGATTCCTTTTTCCTTTTCCTTTCAGGAGCACAGAGAAGGAATTCTCCCTGGCTCTGACAGGCATCCTCCAAATCCCACAGCTGAAAGTGGTCTGAGGTGCAAACAACTCTGATGGTAAAACCACTCCCTTTTGTGAGATGCTCCAAGTTTTCTAGAGCAGCCACCATTAGCATTTCCCTTTTTCCTGAAGAAGACACTGGAGCTCAGAGATGTCAAGGAGCTTGTCTAAGCCCTTGAATCAGTTCCTGCAGCCTAGCGTGAGACGAGGGACGGATCTGAGCTTCCAGGGACTGCCCTGCCCCCTCCTTCCCGCCTCATGTTCTCTCTGCTCACAGCGCCCCACTGCACCTGTGCCCCCATGTGCCACTTGAAAGCAGGTGTTGGGGACATTTAATGAGCTGTCATGAGGAGCAGAGCACCCAGCTCTGTGGCCAAGTCACAACCTGAGTGGACAGTAAGTCCCAAGACCCCTGGGGGTGGGAGGTGAAGCCACTCTGATCCTGGACAACTCCTTCCCCCGTGTCCTCACCTAGGACTGTCACTATACCTGCAGCTGTGCCTCTCTGCACCAAACAGCAACGGTCCCAAAGAGCTGGGTGGGGCCTGACCACCTAAAATCCATGTATCCTACCAGTGGGGTTAGGGAGGCTCATTGCTGCCCAATCTTCATGTCTGATAGACCCTCCATTGGCAATGGGGAGAACCACTTCCCTCCACAGGGCACTCCTATCACAGAGTCAATGACCGGGAATCAGCACCGAATTTGTGGACAGCTCCCCTGCTATACAAAAAGCTCCACCCTGGAGACATGTGCTTCCCAGGCAGCTTGGCCTCCAAGACGTGAAGGACACCATGCAGGGGATTTTTTTTAAAAAAACTGGTCGCCCTGGCCAGTTTGGCTCAGCGGTTAGAGCGTCGGCCTGCGGTCCGGAGAGACCCGGGTTCGGTTCCCGCTAAGGGCACGTACTTCGGTTGCAGTTTGTCCCCGGCCCTGGTTGGTTTTGCAGGTGGCAGTCACTCGATGTGTCCCTTCACGTCGATGTTTCTCTCTCTCTCTCTCCCTTCCTCTCTCTCCCTCCCACTCTATCTGTACAAAAAATGGAAAAATATCCTCGGGTGAGGGTAAAAATATATATATAAGCTGGTCATCAGCTAGTTGTAAATTCACTGTGTAATCTACTCTTTGTCATTGAACCCAATGACGGCCAATGGGCAAGGGTTGGGGCCAGGTGCATATGTGGGGGACAGGAAATGAATGACTAATAAGCCTTTCCTCAAGCCAATAGGAAGATCAAACAGGTGCATGAGGAATGAGCAAAACAAGGCAGCTCCTGCTGAGTCACGGGGAGGGAGGACAGGGTGGCCACACCTCCAGGGGCTCCCTGCTGAGGAGCTGGACTCCAGCTATGGGAGGATGGGGATGCCTTGAAAGGATGAACACCATCCCCGGATGAGGAAACAGCCTGAGCCAGGGTGTGGAGGTGGGGAAATGCAGAGTGTGCCTGGGCAAGGGGGCATCCTGCTGGGGGGTGTCTGGTACCCAGGAAAGCAGTGAGCTGAGGACTGGAAAGGAGGAAGGGCACAGCACAGAAGGCTCTGCTGGTGCAATGCATCTGGAATACTCTGTTAGCAAAGGGGGCCCTACTGAAGGAGCTGGGGGAGAGGGGTCAGGACCAGAGCTGAGAGGTAGGACGCTGGTCTGGTAGGGAGGTATGTGGGCTACAGGGAGGGGGGATCAGTCAGGAAGTTACTTCTGTGCAAGGCCCAGGAAAATTCCAAATGAGGGCCACAGTGTGGGGAGGCCATGGAGGCTGGGAGGCAGGGCATGAATCTGAGTGACTGTCATTGTTATTTATGGTCAAGAGCTTGTGGCCCTTAGGCCAGTGCTAATTGCTCCCTAGCCCACCCTCTGAGCCCCTCCTGGGTCTAGGGGGACCCTCTCTCCTCATCACTATGTCTCCCAAATCCAAACCTGCACCCAAGATGCCACTGCCCTTTCCCAAACCTAGAACCAGCCAATCAAGGTCCAAGCACCAGAGGGTACCCTAGGGTGAATCTGGGGCTCAGAAGAGCTTCTCTGCAGACAGAGCTTTTGTTCTGTGGCCCTGACAGGCTCTGCCTACACCCCACAGGCTGCCCTGACCTGCCAAGCTGGACCAGCAGAGGTCTGGCCTGGGGACATCTCAGTGCCAATCCTGTCCCCAGATGAGCAGAAGGTGATGGAGCTCTTGCCTGCCCCAGAGCTCACTGAGGCTTTCCAAAGGAACAGGGACAAATGGGAGGATGATGTCCTGACTATGAAAGCAGGGACAACTCACCCAACCCCCTTCTTCCTCCACCCTTCCTCACACATACGTTCATGTTCACAGGTGCACACAGGTACACAACATGCATGCACACACCTGCACACAATGCAATCCACCCCATCAGGGGTCCGTAAGAACTGCCATGGTGCTTGGCCAGGACATCACTGAGGGAAGAAGACAGGCAAACTCTATTGCCCACTGAGAAAGGGTATGGGTAGAGGGGACGGGACAGCGTAAATGCCAGGATAAAGGAAGCAAGGCCAAGTCAGGGGCAGGGAGGAGAAGGAAGACAAGGTGTGGGGGTGGGAGTATGCACACAGTCTTAGATGAAGAACCAGAGGCCCATCTCTCAGCTGGAACCATCGAGGATCTGTTGGTGTGTCAGCTACTGTCCCCACCCTTGGGTCACACTCACACACAGGCCTATACACACACCACACACACACAGCAATGCATATTTGCTCTTTTTTTTTTAATCCTCACCCGAGGATATTTTTCCATTTATTTTCAGATAGAGTGGGAGGGAGGGGTAGAGAGAGAGAGAGAGAAACATTGATGTGAGAGAAGCACATCGATTGGTTGCTCCTGCACAACCCCGACCAGGGCCAGGGACCGAATCACAACCCAGGTACGTGCCCTTGACCGGAATCAAACCTGCGACTCTTTGGTCTGTCAGCCGATGCTCTAACCGCTGAGCCAAACCAGTGAAAGCTCCAAGATAATCTTTAATGTGCTTTTCAACTCATATTGCAATAAAAACTTGAGAATGCTCAGAATTTCAAATTACTTACTCCCTGCAGTTCACCCTTTGGGAGGATCGAGGAGAAATCCCCTTCCACTTCCAGATCAGTGTTTCTCCTCCCTGTCTCCAGAGCACATACCTCCTCTTGGGCTTGCTCAGTCGTGCCAAATGTTTCCAGACCTTGGAAAGCCTCCCCCCAGTTCCCTCCACGCCCCACCCGCACCCCCACAGGCCACCGGCACTGGGCTCGGTGTCACTGATGGACAATCCTCACCTCCTGTTCTGGGCTTTGCTGTTATCAGCTGGTCCACATTGGCTGAGGCACCAGCCTAAGTGCCTCAGGTAATAGGTTCTGGGGGAGAAGTTCAGACTAAGTGTCATGGAATTAAATTCTAGGAGGTCCCCTTACCCTGACCCAAAGCTCCAACAGGAATTTTTCTGATGGACCCAACATCAGAATGAAAAGTTGAGGGCAGTCTTACGAGCTAAACGCTCAGTGCCGGGCACTGTCCTAAGGGCTTTACACAGACTGACTCATTCAAAGCTAACAACTCTGTGAGGTAGGAACTATTATGATCAGCCCCATTTTACAGGTAAGCACACTGAGGCACAGGGAAGTTAAGTAACTTGCCCGAGAGCACACAGCTCACAAGTGGGTTCAAACCCTGATCTCTTAACCATCACATGAAACTGCCTCTTCATCATGTCCCCATTGAACGTGATGACACAGACGGAGCCTAGCTGGACCCCTACCAGAAGCAACTCTTCCAAGCCTCTGAGGCCCGTGAAGCAGCTTCATCTAGAATCGGGTCAGGGAAACACAGCCACCAAGACTCTTCTGGAACTGAGATAGGACCCTCAAAGAGCCTGCTCTGAAATGATACCACCAAGGGCCCTGATGCACCAACTCTCCAGCACAGAGACTGCAACTTGTTTTAGGATTTGCCAAAACCCTTTGTCAGCCACCTTGGGGAAGTCTGGTGCATGCTCTCTGCCGGCCCCCCGGCAGCTCAAGTGAGGTGGAGACCCCAGGGCCCCCCGCAGTGATGGGGATGGCGAAGGGGAACCTCAGAGGAGCAGCCTTTCCGCAGGATGGACCCGCCACCCTCCTCACCTCGCCTCACTGCAAGCTCCTGCCCCCTCCCCCACTGCACAGGAAGAGGCAGAGACAGACCAGGAAAGGACAGGGAGGCTGCCTCCCAGTGCCGACTTACTTGAAGAAGTCCTCCTTGCAGTAGACGCTGCCGGCCCTGGAGAAGCACCTGTCAGCCAGCGGCACCTGGCAGTCTGCACACTTGAGGCAGGAGCTGTGCCAGTGTCTGTCCAGGACCTTCAGGATGAACTTGTCCAGGATATGCTGGTTGCAGCCAGCGCACTGGGGGATTTCTGTGGGGAGAGGAGAGAGGCAGCGTGAGCCTTCTGCACGGCACCGCTAACCAGACGGCCCGTGCGGATGGTGCCTTCCCACTCCGCCAGCACGGGGGAAGCCAGAACCCAACCTCCAGGGCTGCCGCGCACGGCTGTGCAGGCTGGACCCTGCCCAGAGACGAGGGGCGAGGGGGCTGAAATCCCGTCCATGCTCTGCTGGTCTGGCTTTGGGTGGCTTTGGCCCAAAGGAGTCTTCTGTGTTTCTAAGGCCAGCAGCAGCCACTAACCCCATTTATGCCAGTTCCACAGGCAACCGGCCAGGAAGACCCAACAACGTTCTCCTCTCTTTCCACGACATTTCCACTACGGGGCGGAATCTGGGCTCAAAACATCAGTCCCACAGTGAGCCCTGCCTCAACATGGCCTGAGAGACCATCTGGCCGGAAAAGCTAATGACTTGTGTGTGGGGTGAGTGGTGATCTAGGTCCAGGTCTGAAGGTGTCCTTGGAGGGAGGAGCTCAGTGTTTCCAGAGAATCTCCGGAGAGTATTTTAATGAAATTCAGTGGATTCCATGGGTTGGCTGCAACAACATCCCCTCCTAATGTGCCTTCCTGTGCTGCAGACAGACAAACCAGAAACTGGTTTTCCAGACTCCCTTGCAGCTCAGGTTCCAAATGTGATTTAGAGTCTGCCAATCCGCTGTACTTAAAAGGGACCTGAATTCAGAACCAAGTTAAATGGAGGCACAACCGATGGGCAGGCTCCCGTGGTGCCCGTGTGAGCATGCAGAAGCTATGGGGGCTGTAATGTCCAGATCAATCATGGCAGAGGAAATGAAATTCCGGGGGCTGGGAGTTATTCCTGAAGCCTGGCCCCGAGCTGGCCCCACTGAGCTGAAAGCCACCTAATACCTGGTAACTGGCCACTTTCTACTTAAGTATTGTATTCTGTTGTCTGCAACTGAGCCCTAACCACTGCCCCAGCTTCTTCTTCTGACCCTGGATGACTTCCTATTCCAGGTCCGGTTTTCTGCCATTTCATCTTTACCAAAGGGTTCTGAGTCAATAAAGTGGTTTCAAAACAGACAATATGGTCAGGCTTCTGTGGTTGGATGAGTCAACAGTGCTAGCATCTCTGGCCATTCCCCCCCAAAAAGGGAAGGCAACAAATTAAGAACAAAACAATATAAAAGCGCAAGCGTCTGGCTGGTATCTCTCACCTCCACTATGAACAGGACTGCTCAGTGTTTGTTTACACGCTGTCTTGCCATCAGAAGGTGGGGGCCTCAAGGGGCGGGGCTCGTGCTTCTTTCTCAGCTTTGAGTCCTCTGCCTGGCACGGTGCCCGGATGCAGGAGTACCGCCACAGATGTTAATCTTTAACAAATATCTGATCACATCCCCTCTAAGAAGCTCGCCTCGAAAACTTCACTAGTTTCTCCTGCACACTCCAAAATGTCAACAAAAGTCATAAAACCACATCTCTCGTGAATCATATGTGTTTCTTGATTCACACCATGTTTGTCGGTTGTGACGTAATTTAAAGGCATTAACGTATGGGAATTAGCCTCAGTGTACTGGGAGGACATTGAACACATCTAAACCTATGTAGGGAGAATCAAGTATTAAGTTATTTGTATCTAAGCATTAAGTTATTGTATCTAAAACTTACACACAGGCTGTTGGGACAGTCACTAAATTGTCCTGTGCACACATGTCCATCTTGGACCCAATTAAACTCCAACCGCAACCTGTTCCCTTCACGGCTTTGGCAGCCACCAGCATTCGCCTGAAAGTCAGACCCCTTAGATGCCTTGCCCTTTGACCCCATTCTCAGACCAAAATACCCCATGAAAACTACCTGGAATCACATTTGGGAAGATACGTGAAGACTGGACTCTTGCTACCTGTCCCAGTTTGTGTGTTTTGGGTTTTTTTTTTTCTATCTCAAAAGGTTTTCTCCGTGACAAAGAAATTGTTCAACCAATAAGCACTTACGGTGTGCCCAGCTAAAGCACATACGGTGTGCCCAGCTAAAGCACTTACGGTGTGCCCAGCTAAAGCACTAAGCATATGATGCCCACAGGAATTGCCATCGAAGAAGAGGGGACAGAGAGGACAGAGGGTAAGACCTTGGATTCTGGAGCTTGACTGCCTGGGTTTGAATCCTGCCTCTGCTTTTTAACACATCCCTTTGCTCTCTGCCTCGCCTTCTCACCTGTAAAAGCCGTCAGGGCCTGGGGCGATGACAGCACAGTACCTCACAGGTGGTTGTGAACACTAAACAAAGCAGGCTGTAGACAGCTGGTGCTCACTCAGGGCTTGCTGTAACCAGGAGGTAACTGCAGCCATCAGGTGTGTTTATGTGGTGTTCCATGCGGTGCTGCTGGGGCCCAGGGAAAGGGAAGTCAGGAACCACGTCCACTGGCCTGATCTCACGACTCCCCAAACAGCTGGGTAGCCACGACCCTCCCCGAGAGGCCAGAAAGCACCCACATCACACAGCCACAGTGCACGGCCCAGGCTGCCCTTAGCTAGGTGCGCATTCAAGCCCACCCTGCCTCTCTCCAGGAGTTATCGGAACCGGCCCAGGGGGGCCAGGGGCGCTGGGTGAGAAGAGAGCCTTAGGAGCAGAGAGATTTGGACACACACAGGTGAGACCACGAGGGGTAACCGGTGGGGAACCGGCAGCTTCTGTGGGTGGCAAGTCCCGCCTGGGAGGCGGGGAGGGAGACAGCCCAGGTGACGGGGTCCTAAAGGGCAAGGGGGAGGGGCTTCTCCTGCAGCGTTGGCCTCGTGGTCCTTGCAGCTGCTGGGCCAGGGGCTTGAGGAAGGGGGTGTCAGCAAGATTGCTCTGGCGTCATGTTTTAGGGGAGCAGAGGGAAGATCTAACCAAGAAGCCCTCCGGGCTCAGGGAAATGGTTTGCGGACAAATGGGTGCAGAGCACAGGGACCTGTGGGCACCCCGCGGCTTGCTAGGCAGTCGGCCACCCACCCCCGCACCCCCGCACCCCCGCACCCCACCTGCTGGGGGTGTCTGTGTGGGCAGACGGCTGGATTCTGGGGAGCCGGGGACCGGGCCAGCGGAGGCAAATCCACCCTCGGAGAGCCTAACGGAGAAGCGTCCTGGGGGCTGGGTGAGCCCGCAGGGTCCGCCCACTCCCTCCCCGGGCTCCCCGCTCCCCGCGCTCCCTTCGGGGCCAGAGGCCGCCGATTGCCACCTAATTGTTGTTTGGCCTTGCCTGGGAGGGAAGATGCGGCTATATTTCTCCTCGGGCGGCAGAGGCACGGGGATGAGGGCGAGGATGTATGCCCATAAAATTTATTTCGAGCAAGGTATCTAGCGGGACCCTTAATATGATGAGTATTCAAGAGAGAATACATTACGGTAATGTATGCAGCGAGGGCGGGCAGGGACTTTTAGAGGCTTGCGAGCGAGCAGACAACATCACGTTTGGAAATAACACGGGGAGCAGACGAGCCCCTGCAGCTGTCAGCTTGCAGGGGGCCCCCTGCGGGGCGGGGTCGGCTCCCTGACTGGGGTTCTCAGAGAGAGGCCTTGTGGCCAGACTGGGTCCTCCCGCCCTGGTTTTGGCGAAAATACAAGGGACATACTAGGGGTGCTTTTTAAATTAAAACCTTCCCCACTATAGGTTTTGAGAGAGAGAGAGATTTTAAAACAAAGATAATGTAGAAATGGTTTAAGAGATCTATAATATGCCAATAATAATAGTAAAACCAGGAGTCAAGAGCCTGTTAGGAACTGTGCCAGGTCCTGAATGCTTATCACCTCAAAAATCCACGCAACTGGGTGAGGAAGGTGTACTTATCCCCATTTTACAGATGAGGAAACTAAGCCTGGGAGAGCCCAAGCGAAGAGCCCAAGGGCCCAGGGCGGGGAACAAGGATCTGAAGCGAGCCTGTGTGAAGGTGGGCTAACGGACCCGAGGGCTGTGGGCACCCTGAGGCATCACCCGGCCTGGCCGGCTCTATCCTCTCATTTTATGGAGAGTGTGGCAGAGGCCAGAGCTGCTCTGTGCAGGGACAAGAGCAAATGGAAACGGTCAACATTGCCTTAACAGTTGTGCCCCCTAACAACCGGCAGATGGAAATGTTTGGGGCACAGGTGTGGGTCCTTTGGACAGAGTATACATGCGTGGATGGGACAGACCCGAATGCCCTGGAGACCCTCTGTGGCCGGTCCCCTCTACCCAGCTGCAAGTTGCCAGCTTGCTGATGGCACCTGTCAAGTTCAGACACATCCCTGTGCGTGAGGGGGGCAGATCTATGACCTCGGATTCCACACTTCAGGTGACAGAGCTCCATGTAATTCTTTTTTTTTTATCCTCACCCAAGGACATTTTTGCATTTATCTTCAGATAGAGCGGGAGGGAGGGGGGGATAAGAGAGAGAGAGAGAGAGAGAGAGAGAGAAATATCAATGTGAGAGAGAGACATCAACGTTGCCACCCACACGACCCCAACCAGGGAGGGAACAAACTGCAACCAAGGTACGTGCCCTTAGCGGGAACTGAACCCGGGACCGTCTGGTCCCCAGGCTGATGCTTTAACTGCTGAGCCAAACTGGGGCTAATTCTTTAGATTATTGTGAAATGTAAGCTATCTAAAAAATCTTCAAAGAGCAACAACACAAGCCTTTTTTAAAAACTTGCAATAAATTACACTTTTTTTTCCTCTAACAATGGAGAGAGGCTGAACAGGACAGAGGTTATCTAGGTCTCCTACCAGAAATAAGGTTGTAGCCAAAGTTTCTGAGGAGCAAGAGGATTTCCAAATCCCTAGTAAAGTCAACTTATTTTACGCAGTACTTAATATCACAAAATTCCACTTTGCAAACTGGAATAGAAGCAGACCCTGGCGGTCACTAAGACAGAATTTGATCTATAAGTTCAGTTCCTGATATGAGGAGTCATTTCATTTAAAATGAACATTTTTGCCCTGGCCGGTTTGGCTCAGCGGTTAGAGCATTGGCCTTCAGTCCAGAGAGACCCGGGTTCGG